TTTTATCATCATCATTTCAGCCATAGGACGTCCACTGCTGAACATAGGCCTGTACCCCAATGATTTTCATAATGACCGCTTGGTAGCGGCCTGCATCCAGCACCTTCCTGCTTACCTTTATGAGGTCGTCGGTCCACTTTGTAGGTGGACGTCCTACGATGCGCTTTCCGGTACGTAGCCTCCACTTTAACCCTGCTGCCTCAGTTCTGCAAACTACTGTGCCCTGCCCATTGCCACTTCAGCTTGCTGATCCGACGAGCTGTCAGCGACTTTAGTTCGTTTACGGATCTCCTAATTTNTGATGTGGCGTTCGGAAATAAGTGATTTCCGAACGCACATTTACTCTAGGCATAGATAAGTGCTTTTTAATCTGTGGTTTTGGCAAAAAAAACTTTTCACTTGTCAGACAGAGGCCTCAACTTTTTACCGCGCGCATCGCGATTATAATTTGTGTTACAATAATGTGAAATGTACATAGTTCATGTAGTGTTAATTGTGTGTGCTACTTTATTATCATTGCCACGCCTGATTCTGTGCGTCAATACACGCAGTTCTTTGTCAAAACGACTACGGAGTTTCATTCCGGCATGGGAGACGCCGACTCACCAAAGTCCTCCCAAAATAGTATGATCGTATTTTATGACAGCCTGTTGATAGACGAACTTTATACACTCAACATCAAATAAATCGCTCCTCTCGCAACAAGCACTTTCAAACGTATGCATCCCCACTTCCCACTAATATTGGAACCATTTAAAAGCCTAGTTCTAAACGTCATTTCATTAAAGGAAAGGTTTTTACCCCAAAAATGTGTCTTTAGAAGGTTCCAGAGTCACTTCTTCAAAAAATAGGCTATTACGCTTGAGCCAACTTTTATGGCTATAAAACTGTTAAGTTGGGATTAATCGCTATCCATCTGTTAAAGAGGACACGTGTGATCATTATTTGGTTTTATAACCATAAAATTTGGTCTAATTGATCCCAGAGGTGAGCCCAAAGTGAGGTCTCTTGTCAAGTCACATTTAAATGGTATATGATAATCATTTATTTAGAAAATAAATTAATGTGTTTTTCTTTAAGGATATTTATTGGGGTTTCAAATAACACCAATATTGTTGGGGCACCATGATTGAGTCCAGAGAGCAGAAATAACAGGAGTAGCAGCGCGCGTTTATTTCCATACAAAAAAATTTCGCCATTTCCTGAGGGGGACGAGGTAATGACATTTGTGTAACNTAAGATTTACATGATTATAAGCAATCTCTTCTGCTAAACTGTTACGTAGTGGATGCCTATTAAATTGGAAAATTAAATACTATACTAATAATACTATGTAGAGGGCGCAGCGTTGCCAGACGTCCCGATTTTGGCGGGACGTCCCGATTTTTAAATCAAATTTAAATGTCCCGCGCGGGACAGGCTTGGTCCCGCTTTTCGGAGAGAACTCGACCGTACGTGGCGTACGTACTAAATCTGATTTAAAATATTATTTTTATTGTTAAAATACATTTTCTATAGCTACTTTTGCTATCTATTGTCACGTAAACGTAATTTTAAGTCAAATAAAAAGATAAATATTTGAAAACCTTTGATTATTATCCCTAGAGTGCTCGCGCTATGAGCATTTTGCCGCCCTCGGCAAAAAAATGGAGTTATTTTCTACACGATGCGTTTGTTAAAGTCAAGCGTTTCAGTAGCTGCCTCCCCATACTTCACCTCCATGTATTAGAAATTAGAAGAAATGGCAATGCCAGATTTTGTATGGAAAGTGGCGTCTTTTTTTTTTCGCGCGGCCATCGACCAAATTTTGTTTTTTGATTACAAAATAGTGTAATAAACCAAACTTACTATGGCATGTATACCTCTAAACTCAGTCTGAACTGAGTTACGAGCAATAGAAGTTTGATTATTTTCATACTAGATTTGCTTTTTGTGCGCAAGTTTTGTAAGAAATTGCAAAAAAATATTGCGCTATTTTTTTATTGCCCTGATTCTGCTCCATACTGNCAGTTTTCATACTAGTTGCTATTCAAGTAGCCATAAGATAAAAATAATACAGAATACATAGGCTTGTGATACCTTTTTAGAATCTTAATTAACCAAGGAAGTTTTTAAGGTAATGGGCACGATGGTCTTCCTACATTTTTTTTACACGACGGCTGATCAAAAGTGCAAGACAATGAATTAATTTTTCCTTCTTCTCTGCAATTTCTTAAAATTTTCATACTTTCAAACTAGTTTGTTGAACTTTAATCATTTCTTTTGATAGCCCAACTATCCCTTGTGATAAGGAAAAAAACTAGATTGAAAAGTATCCTCATTTGTAGAAATGGCATGACAAAAAGTAATCGCAGGTGGCAATTTTCTAAAAATTAACAAAAACTTAAAAATCTTGAAAACGGTGATATTTTTACTGGGGTCAAAATTGGACGTTAGGGAGACCATGGCAAGGCCTATCGATGGCTACAGGGTTATCCATTGTTTTTGGGACACCCTGTATATTTCAGTTGCAAAAAGTAACTATTACAACTACATAAGATTCCATAGTGGTTGGCTCGATATGCCGTTGTCTGTGAACTAGGTTTTGGCTTGTTGTTAAAATTTTAGTCCTAAGAGTGGCTCATTTGTAACCAATATTGTAATAGCTATAAATAGGCACTAATTTGGTCTTTAATCATATTCATCTTTACTATAGTACTATTGATTGTACATGACTGTATGTTGCCTTAAATAAATTAAACACNCGGCCTTTCTAGTGTTAAAAAAAAACACAGTGTCACTACGCCACAAGAGTGGCGTTGACTGACTGACTGACTGATATAGTGATCTATCAACACACAGCTCAAACCACTGTACGGATCGGGCTGAAATTTGACATGCAGGTAGATGTTATGACGTAGGCATCCGCTAAGAAAGGATTTTACGAAACTCCACGCGTACGAAGTCGCGGGCGGCCGCTAGTTTTTGAATAAGAATGTTGTGTTCACTGTGGAATACTCCTAAGAGGTACTGAAAAATAGAGCGCTATTTTGTTACTTTAAAGCAAGATGACACCGTGATATTGCAGGCCAGGGATAAAAGATTACGCGTCTCGGTTTATATGTTTTACATCTTTCCAGAGTTTATTACTTTTTAACCACCGGGTAAAATAAGTTTGTGTAGAAAAGATATGACGAACACAGATACTTTCGTCTGGAGGTTGGGATTGAGATATTAATAAGTAAAAGCTATTTTTATATTATAAACACGAAATATACTTTAACTTTTATATAATATCATCGTCTTATCATCACAGGACAGTGTCCTTGCTACAATTAAGCTAAGGAGAGTTAAAAACTAGATTTGGTTTGTCATCATCATCATCATTTCAGCCATAGGACGTCCACTCCTGAACATTAGGCCTCCCCCAATGATTTCCATAATGGCCATAGTTTCAGTTTATATTCCCATTTTATATTTAACTCGTATTATATTCAGCTATGGACATATCCTTATTATTTTTATCGAAACTTTGAACACCTGAAAATGCTGAAAGTCAGACATCAAAGAAGCAAAAAGTGTGTTTGATACATCATGGCCGCTAATTTATCTTTTTCTCTCACGCTTTCTATCTCTCTTTTACTAACTTGCCCTGACCTCGGTCAATGTGCGAAAGTGTTTGTTAAAAAAAGTACATGACGATAACCTGAAAAGGAAATCGATCGACAAGTTATAATATCCAAAAATTCCCCTGCATTTACTGGTATCTGAGTATAAACACTTTATCCTTTGGTGTTTTGTATAAAATTAATAAAAAAAAGCTTAATGGGCGAGATAGCCTATCTTGTAATAATGCTAGCTACGAGTTTATTAACATTTTATCAATGACGAAGTATATTTTTGGATAATGATTTAGATAAGTATAGTCGTATGACTGTGGAGCTACGTAGCATCACTAACAACTCAATAAAATAATGATATAAGTGAAAATTATCACTATAATTATTCTTTTACGACTCTATTTTCGTAATGATAGTGGCTATTGCCAACTGCAATAATAATAAAAATCGTCTGAAACAAGAGATATTAGTGATCTTATAATAATTTGCAAGCTGAAGTGGCAATGGGCAGGGCACATAGTACGCAGAACTGACGGCCGATGGGGCAGAAAGGTTCTGGAATGGAGGCCGCGTACCGGAAAACGCAGCGTGGGACGTCCACCTACAAGGTGGACCGACGACATCGTAAAGGTAGCAGGGAAGCGCTGGACGCAGGCCGCTACCAATCGATCAACATGGAAAGCATTGGGGGAGGCCTATGTTCAGCAGTGGACGTCCTGTGGCTGAAATGATGATGATGATGATAATAATTTGCAATCAAATAACATAAAATTTAGTCTAAAATCTAAATAGTTACTTTTGAGAAATTGTATCTTAGCAAGAATTTTATCAGTCTCATTTATTTCGAGTTAAGTAGTAGACGGAAGACGCAGCGTGGGCAGGCCTCCCACTAGGTGGACTAACGATCTGGTGAGGGTAGCGGGAGGTGCCTGGATGCGAGCGGCGCAGCACCGGTTTTTGTGGAAATCCTTGGTCCAGCAGTGGACATCTTTCGGCTGAAACGAACGAACGAAGCAGTAGATAGGTACTTGCAAGTTCAAAACTAAATCATGCTTTTGAATACAACTGTGTTTCCGGTCAGAAAGTCTTTTTATAAGTACAGACACACTTTAATTCAGCCTTTTACTAGCTTAACTACTAAAATATTCTTAACAAGTGACAATCAAAGAAACATTATTTTAGGTATTTTCACCTTATTAAAAACGAACAATTATATTCACCTCTTTAATTTATCTACTACAAAGAAGTAGGTATAATTCGCAATCAATTAACAACCGTATCACAATGTATAAGCGAATCTTTTTTCACTTTATATCTTGTTAGATTAACGATTGTATTTTTATTGATAAGCTGATAATATAAGTCTATTGATAACGTCACCCAATCAATTTGGTTTCAGTTTTCGTTCAGTGCTGTGGTGGCCAGTTGCTGTTAGTATACGAACGGCTTGTGAATGAAGTGCGTGTTTTTATAGTGCATATGACATCGATCAAGCATACAAAAGTTTTTCGCGACTTCTCCAAAATTAGTTTTCAAGAATGGCTGGTACAGATAACGCTATGAGCAAGGTACCTAAGTTTTTATTTAATTAATTCACTTCTCGGGCTTCTGGACCAGCGATCTGGTGAAGGTCGCGGGAAGTGCCTGGATGCGGGCGGCGCAGGACCGGTCTTTGTGGAAATCCTTGGGGGAGGCCTTTGTCCAGCAGTGGACTCATTCGGCTGAAACGAACGAATACTTCTTGGGCAGTCAGTAAACGTTACTTGTCGCTTTTTTAGGTAGGTATAGAACGTGTTTAAGAAATAAATCTGATTGGAAATACATACATAATATCTGAAAGGATTCTGGGAAGATTTTAGTAAAATTAAAACTACATCATTCAATATTTGAAAAAAATCATACCCATTTTGAAAATTATAAATAACTTGAAAAACCCACGATGTGGGTTCAATTCCCGCCTTAGGCAGTTCGATTTTTTCAAGTTATTTATAATTTTCAAATTAGTTTGAGATGCGACTCTAAACGCTAAAAATTTAATAACTAAATCATACCCAGTAAACAACAGTAAACAAACCTAGACCTAGCAATAGACCTTATGATGATATGTAAACAAAAAATAAAAAATTGAAAGTGCTTTTTTAAAACCTATTTGCAGAAATAAATGAGTTTAATTACAAACAAAAAATATTTCGATTATTTCAAATGGCAAGTCAGTAAATAAAGAAGAAACGAAAAACACAAACAATGTAAAACATGTTTAAATAATGTATAGAAATGTACGAACAAACGTAATTGATGTACTAACTCGATTTTATGACATTTTTATCAATAAATTTATATTACTATCGATAACTGTGATAGCTACGAAGATTTCGATCTAAATCGCATTTTCACAATAACAGTACAGATTTCGTCCTATCTATTATCATAGCGTGACGCGATAAAACACGAAAATTACTTTAGGTTAATAAACAATCTTTACTATTAGAAGAGCTTCTTTTCAACTACTAGACGTCCACTGCTGGACAAAAGCCTTCTCCAAGAATTTGCATAGGTTCTTGGTGCAGTTAACTCACTTAAAAACATGTTAAATTATTTGTTTTAAAAGCTACAAAAGAAATAGGTACCTTTTCTGTGAAAAATCCCACTCTACATATTGCGATATATGAGATAGAGACTGCTGACTAATAGGTAAGATAAGTAGATGGTCAGTATTCAATTGATCTCTTTCTTATAAGTTTTATTATTTATACAGGGTGGAAGATGGTGCCTAATAATGCTCTATTGAACCATATAATATTACTTTAAAGTATAATTTTCGCGCGCCTTTTTGACTTTTTACATTGCAGTTATAACTATTGCGACGTGCGTGCGTATTTTTCTATGAGTGAAAAACATTATCCACGCCTGTAATTTAAAACACCCTGCAAGCAAAGTCATCCTGTATGTAGTAAACGCATTACCGAGCATCGAGCACTTTAGAATCCTACTTCTAAGCTAAGACAGCATACAAACTCGACCACCAAACAGTTTACTATTACCAAAATGCTTAAACATTACAGCATCCGAAGTACTCGCCAGATGTTACCCTTCGAAACTAAGCAATCTGCAGGTAGTTATATTCTCACTAACAGTTGTGGTGTGTTCAGAAGCAATTTAAAACTTTACCTAGACCTCGGAGTCGGACACAGGTGCATTGCCCCACATATGTTCATAGAAATCAGAGCAAAGTTTTATCCAACTCTGTCTAGCGGTGTTTAAGACTATGCAAGAACAGGGAATACGTTGAGTAGCTCATTATAATTTGAGTAAGTTTTTTTTTATTTTGATTTTAAGTTATTAAATCTATTTCTAAATTAAATGGTATGGTGGCTATTTTATGGAATACTAGCTTTCCGCCCGCGGCTTCGCCCGCGTGGAATTTTGTCTGTCACAGAAAAACTTTATCGCGCGCGTCCCTGTTTCAAAAACCGGGATAAAAACTATCCTATGTTCTTTCCCGGGACTCAAACTATCTCTATGCCAAATTTCATCAAAATCGGTTGCGAGGTTTAAGCGGGAAAGCGTAACAGACAGACAGACAGACAGACAGACAGACAGACAGACAGACAGACAGACAGACAGACAGACAGAGTTACTTTCGCATTTATAATATTAGTTGGGATGGGATGTAGCCTACACCTGTGAAATGCTAGTGTTTGAGCATCCTGTAACTTAACCATGAGTTGACATTAAACTTCATTGCTAGCCAGTGCGTCAAAAATTTATAAAGATTTTAGTGCTTAATTGTACCAAATATTCTCACGGACCCGCTGGGAAACAAAATTCTTTCGAATTTTTAATGTCGTGGACCAGTTGGTAATCAAAGTATGAACTGATTTTTTTTAAACAATGGAGCTGTAGACCTTTTATTAGCTCTGCTGAAGGGTTGAACATGATGCTTAACTTTCATAGACAAACAAACAAAATCTTTAGTATAAAGTATAGATTTGTGTATTAATCCTAAAAAACTTGTATCAAAGCAGCTCCATAAAATCCATGTTCCAAGTCATAAACATAAAGTATGTGGGTAAGAACTTAGCTCTACTCGGAAGACGAACTTGTGCATAATATTATTTGAATAGGGAATCGAACGAAACTTGCCGGCTCCATTGTGGTCTTCATAGACCCGAATTTACATTTAAATTAGCATTATTTTCTTGTTTGAAGGGATTAAGTTCTAAGAGCTCCCTGATTTTGAAACTTGTTAATTAGTTATTGGGACTTGTGTATGGGATAATATGTTGAGTACACATTTTTGTTGTAAAAATAAATAACATTTTAGCTTAGGCGCAGACCACCAACTTTTAGTTGGACGATAGTTGAGATCGATTTTAATTTGTATGAAGAATCAGCCGATACCAAATCGGTGTTATGTGCACACTTTCATTCATACATTTCCATACTGCTGATTAACAGCCCGACTCAATAATCGGCCGACGAAAGGCCTGTAGTTGGCGGCTAGGCTTACTACTACCATTTATTTTAAGATGCCGCAAAGATTAGCTTGGTAAGTCAACTAACTGGATGTCAATTATAAAAATAAAGATTTGCCTTGGTCTGAAACCGAAAACAGTTTTTTTTAAACATGATAAGGCAGGTATTTGACCGTAATCGCATCTGGTGTTAACTGGGATGCAGTCTAAGATGGAATATAATTATCTGCCCTGTAAGTGCCTATTCACTCTCGCCTTGAAAAGCCTGGATTATTTTACAAAAACAAATATTGAGTTAAAATAATATTGGTGTTATCGTTACACATTAAATTCGTGTTGCTACCAAAGTTAATTGGTTTTTAAATAAATCAGTGAAATCAGTACAGCTCTCCAAGTTTTTCATCTCCCTTTTGATGTCATTTTATAAAGTTGATATTTTATTATTCACATCCGGATTTTCATACATTAGTTTACTGTAAAAATATCTGCTGTTTTTGCAATTTAGATTTCAAACGAAAATAAAAATGTTATTCTGTTCCATCAAAACAACTTTATGTAATAGATGGATTTATCACCCTGTATATTTGACTGCTATTGGCTTGATGTGTGCTGGAGCTAATGGAATTAAAGGTTTACTCCAAATCTGATTTAATCAGATGCTTCTGGGAATTTTCGATTCGGTGGATTCGCAGGTAATCTCACTATAGTCAATAGCTCAACAGACTCTACATTTTGTTGGAAAATAACACTTATTAGAACTGCATAAGATGCTACAGTTATTGATGTGCTTTAGTTTGTACTATCAGTAGTTACTTAGCTTTGGTAGTTTTCTTGTACGTGACCATTCATACAAATGAATCCAATTTGGGTTTAGGAATATTTGGTAGAAATGATGATAACATTTCTTGAATAAAGTAAAATTATTCCAACAGGAATTTATTATTCTGTGGTATAACCTACTTCAGAGTATATTCTACATTGTAGAGTATACACATTCAAACCACCATGTTATTAAATCACCGTGTCACTCCGTGGCAACATAATGATTGAATTTTGATTCCATTAACTTCCATCACTCTCTATATTGATAAGGTAGATGATTCATAATTTGTTTTACTTACATTTTGTATAATAAAAACATGTTTTGTTGCAGCCAGACAAAAATGGCAGTACGCCAGTCGGAACAGAAAAACAAGATGGCGAAACGCCCGAGCGAGCCAAGTGGGGAAGCCCACTGGAGTTCATACTCGCTTGTCTAGGGTATGCTGTGGGGCTGGGAAATGTTTGGAGATTCCCGTACCTGTGTTATAGGAGTGGAGGAGGTAAGTGGTATAGCCTTTATTTCCCTCCCTAGGTGGTAAAAACTTTATCCTCTATACACGCCTGAGCGAGCCAAGTGGGGAAACCCAGTTTATACTCGCCTGCTTAGGATATGCTGTGGGGCTGGAAACGTTTGAAGATTACCTGTGTTAAGAAGTGGAGGAGGTTAGTTGCGATAACTTTTGCTTCTGCTACGTATTGCTTTAAGGAGCGAAGTACAAAAAAGAAAGCGAAATAATCAAAGAATTTTATTACATAAAATAATATACTTGATAAATATCGAATGTTTATTTATGTCATATGTCATAACAATGAAATCGCATGTTGCTAAGCAACCATAAAGAAGGTCAGATATGACACGCTTCCGCCGCGATTCCTGGCTGCAGCACTGCTGGCACCAGTGGCGCCGGCAGCAGCTGGTCTAGATGGCGTGTCCAGGTCAGACCGCCGTCCGTACGCACGACATAGTGCAGCTTGCCCAGGCGCTGTACCACTGTGGCAAATGTCCACTTCTGAGCGGAGCTTCCGTAAAGTCTAGCCTGCACTCTGTCTCCACAAACAAAATGTCTTGTATGTGAGGCCAATGTGTCATTAGTTCTCGATGGAGAGGTTGATGGGGTTTTGAGCATAGTATGAAGTCTAGTCCTTACTTCTCGGCCAAACATGAGCTCGTAAGCTGAGTGTCCACTAGCGCCAGGGGTACGCCTCAGTCGGTATTTAATCACTAAGAGTTTATCCATTAAGTCGCCTCTCTCCCCCGTCATTGCACGCAGTGCTCTCTTGATGGTCTGTACGAACCTTTCAGCTTGGCCGTTGGTCGCTGGGTGGTATGGTGCGGTTTTTCGGTGCGTTATTCCGCATTCTGTCATAAAATTTTCAAATTCTGTTGATGTGAATTGGCGGCCGTTGTCTGAAACTAATATATGAGGCATTCCGAAAGTAACAAATAATTCATTTAATTTTTTTATGCACCATGAACTTGTAGTGGTTTTTGTTGGGATAATTTCAACCCATTTTGAAAATGCGTCAACGATAATGAATAGATAGTGTCCATTTGATGGACCTGCGAAGTCAATATGAACTCTTTGCCATGGACCGTTTGGTTCTTCCCAGTGATGAATAGGAGCTCGAGTTGGTTGATTCTGTTCTAAACGACATGCTCTGCAAGATTTGACCTTATTTTCTATGTCTTTGTCTATGTTCTTCCAATAAACATAACTACGAGCTAGTAACTTCATTTTCAGAATACCAATATGGCCCGCATGTAATTCGTTTAGTATCTGCATGTGTAAGTTTTTTGGAATAAATACCCTACTTCCTTTTAAAATGCAATCATTTTGTAGAGTAAGTTCATTATCATTGTACCCATAATGTTTCAGAGATCGTCCTGACTTTAGCGCTTCTAGTATAGGCTTAAGTTCATTATCTTTAGCAGTTTCTCGAGCGATGACTTGCGGCCCTATCTCCAGTGTGTTAATTTGCTGTATTTGGTACGCACAATGCTGGTCTATTGAATTTTCTTTAACATTTTCTACAGGAAATCTGGATAGGTAATCTGCATTGGAGTTATTCTTTGAAGTTCGGTATTCAATATTGTAATCGAATCCAGATAAAAAATGTGCATAATGAAACAATCTCATGGTGCTGAGGGCTGGCAAGGTTTGGTTCGGGTGAAAAATCGAAGTTAATGGTTTGTGATCAGTAATCAGTGTAAACTTTCGACCGTAACAGTAATGGAAGAATTTCTTTAANCATTTGTTGAATTTCCTGTTCTAACAATTCTTCGTCCACTTGAGATTCTATTTCTTCTTGTGTTTCTAGAAATTTTTGTAATGTATTTTCCAATGACTGTAGTCGTGATTCAATCTCTTCGTTACATAAATTTTCCTGTACGTTCAAGTAATTTTCTGTTCGTGTAAGGGTTCCTCGTAGTGCAGCTCGCACTCTGGTGTAGTTTTTATTTGAATTCGGCATCCTGTCGCCAATTTATTACATAAAATAATATACTTGATAAATATCGAATGTTTATTTACATGACTATGTCATAACAATGAAATCGCATGTTGCTAAGCAACCATAAAGAAGGTCAGACATGACAAATTTAAACTATACTTTTTAGGCTGGTGTTCACTTGTCTTTAAACACAACTAAAAAAACTGACCGTTTTTGGCTAGGTACTGCATTTGCTTTGTTTAACAGTGCAGTTTGATTATGCAGTTTTGATTATGAACCGGCAGACAGTGGTGACTGAGTTTGTTGCGGCGCGGCGGCGCTTCTTCTCAGCACTTGCCAAATGTTGGTCACGGAGCGCTGGTAGGGTAAAAAGATTATGAAACACGTAGAGGCGATTTGTCAGTTACTATTTGAATAGTCTATCTATACAAATAAAGAAATTTTGACTTTGACTTTGACTCAGTAAGGAACGTGAAAGCATTGCGATTATGATAATGTTTGTTGCTGGTGGTCCATTGTAAACTGCCTTGTGAACCTATCTCTTGCGTATTAAACAAAATTGTATTTTTATTATCAAAAATGAATGAATAATACCTAATGATATTGTACAATATTATTAATAGATAAACTTCACTAGCAACAGATTTGGTGGTATTCCGGCAAAAACCTTTCAAATTCATAATGAAAAGAAACCGTTTGATACTAAAAGGCGTATTATCAAATCGAATTTTCCTCATAGATAATCTTCTTAATATTAAAATAACATTATCAGATGATATTCGATGTGGGGCTTAAGATATAATACTTATGGCCTTGATGATGTACTCAATATTAATAAAATTGTCAAGCGTCTAGTGAATTTTTCCTCTCACTTAGGTACGGGACTATTCCCACCTCTCGTTCCCATCGCTACAACTCCTGTGTAGCCAGGATCTACATCTTGATCGCCAATTCCTCTCACTTGCAAATTGAATAGTGGATTATTATGCTTAGTTAGGTTTATAAATACAAAAAAGTGCCGTCACATGAAATATTTTTTTTAGTATAAACTGAATTGAATAAGAATAAACGAAGAAGTTTTTGAGCATTCTCATTCATTATTTTAAGGATAGTTAGAGTTATTACTCTACTATGAAATTTTGTTTCAGGTGCTTTCATCCTGGTGTTTTTATTGATGATATTCCTGATCGGTCTTCCAATTTTCTACTTGGAATTATACATCGGACAGTACAGTGGACTGGGACCGTTAAAGGCCTTCCAGTCCATTGCTCCCTTCTTCAGTGGACTTGGATACTGCACCCTGGTTGTCATCACCATCATCTCGATATACTACATGATCATCATAGCGTGGACTTTGTATTATACCATCGTGTCCATCGCTGGGAGCCTGGATTGGGGATCGTGTGAAAACGACTTCAATGATTTATGTAAGTATCATTATTCATTATTATAAGCTCATTTTGTATCTAATCCATCAGGATGAGTCTCTCATTTACCAGATGTACCTATATGGATTTGGCACACACTCCCTAACCCCATGCTATATTGAGCCCTACTTATCAAATCTTTTTTGTTTTGCTTGAAAGGTAGTATTTTTCTCATCCCTTTTCATTGGATTTTAAATTGACTCTATCATAAATTAAATTTGTTATTTTTTGTATTTGTTAAGTTATTAGCATGTTTTAATACTCCAATGTGTTTCTAATTTGGCTTATGTGTCATTTTTCCTGCGAATGAGGGTTTTCGCGATTGAAAAATCCGCCAGATGGCAATACGCGAGGTCCAAATGCTGCATGATTGGTTATTTTTGACATGACATTGACAGATATGTCAAAATCCACCAACCACGCAGCATTTGGACCTCGCGTCTACGTATGCCATCTGGCGGATTTTTCAATCGCGAAAACCCTCATTGATTGAATGTTGTGGAAACCTTATTGAATATAAATAAATCAATAAAATATCCTACTAAATATTTATCTCTAGATTGCTACAGCGGAGCATACGACAGGGACTGCAGGGCGCAGAACCTCACCGGTTACCACGTCGAGACGTACTACAGAGGGAATTGTACCGCAATCGGGCAGATTTGCCTCCAAACTGGGTCCCAGCCTTTCAACGCGACGCACTGCCTCGAAGGGAATGTCGAGATCCCGTGGTACACAAACGTCACTAGGATTCTGGCGTCGGAACAGTATTTCAAGTAAGTAACAATTTTTTGATACTTAAATAACTAAACTCAACAGTTTCATTATGTAAAAATCTTTTATGTTTTGTTTTCTTTGTATTGAGTTCACCCAAAACAATTTTTATGTACTTACATTTTCGCGTTCGCGATATCACACCTCTTTTTCGCAGGTCAGGGGTTAATAACGGACGCCATTAAAGACTTGCTGTTTTTATAGAGTTAAGAATTACTTAAATTATAAGCTCATGAATATTAGTGAACATATCGGCAAAGTATCTTCTGTTACTAAGTTGTACAAAAATCGGTATGTTGACAGTTTGTAAAGTGGAATTAAGATTGTAATGATACTGTCAAACAGAAAGAAGATCTTATAAAATAATACCCATTTCGCATTGCACTCCAGTTTTATCTCGATTTCAATTTCTTAGCTAATACTGATAGCACTAACCTTTCCATTATCAGGCACGAACGTTTTAATGAAAATTCAATTTATCAGTTCATATCTCGTAGGTATTCAGTGGAATTTAAGACAAATGATAAGAGGTATACGCCCAAACGGACACGCGCAGTTTATAACTTAATACGGTTGCAAATACAGGAGGTGTGGGTATTTGGTTATCAGTTGAGACTGGATTATGACATATTTCGTTTAAAATCTTGCGATGACGCATATTTCCGTAATGATATACCGTAATAAATAAAATAAAATAAAATAATAAAAATGATATCTACAGAGTTTTGATTGGCTATATAAGGACGAGGGTATTAGCTAAGTACTATAGCACTTAGCTTAGGCGCAGACTACCGATTTTTAGTTGGCCGATAGTTGGATCGGGCTGTTGATCAGTATGGAGATGTATGAAAGTGCGCGCGTTACACCGATTTGTTATCGGCCGATTCTTCATACAAATTAGAATCGGGCCTAACTATCGGCCAACTAAAAGTTGGTGGTCTGCGCTTAGGCTTAGGTTCGGCCAAACCAAAGCGTGCACCCTGCGTGTGCGATGACGATGGCGATCAGTAGAAAACAGTAGGACCGCCATCGCACATACGTACAACTAGGTCGTATGTAAAACGGGGGTGTGGTTCTAGCAGAGTAGAATATTAAGACCACCCCACTCTTCCCGTAGATGTCGTAAAAGGTGACCCGGGGACTTTAAGCGAAAACCCGGTTTCCCCAGCCTTACTAGCGTGGGCAATCTAGAGCAAATCCTCATTCAATCGTGCGCCTGCAATAGAGACTAAAATGACCTGTAGCCTTATTCACGTAACAAAACTTCAACGACAACAAAATACTGAATTGCGATCTATCGAGTAATCGTTCTATCAAAATGACCCTTGTGAATACGGATTTAGAACGGTTTTTCAATGGGACGACGTAACAAAACTTCAATGACAATAAATCGCTGAGTTGCGATCTTATCGAGTAATCGTTCTATTAAAAAGGACCCTTGTGAATACGGATTTAGAACTGTTTTTCAATGGGACGACTTCTGAACGTCAGCGAGATCTTGACTGTCAAAATACGTGAATTAGGCTACTGATGACGATGATGGACTTTCTTGCAGCGAACGCGTCCTTGGCAAGGGTGACGCTACCTGGTCCAACTGGGGAACTATTCAGTGGCACTTGGTTGGCACACTGTTCCTTTCGTGGCTGATTGCGTTCTTCTGCGTCATCAAAGTGAGTATTTATTTCTAAAAGTTATGTAGGTACACTTGTCAAAGTAGGTAGGCCTACTTGTGTCTTTGTCTATTATACGGCACAAGTAGCGAAATAAATAAGTGAACTTAAACTGAAAACACTTGAACTGAAAACAAAATCCTTTCTTTGTTTCTGTCACGACGTGCCAGTATCCTAAAAATCTCGTAATAGACCTCAGAAAGTAGTTTCAATAGCAATCAGAACCATAAATGAAACCAATATTTAAAAAATTACGATCACCTCTTGTCAAGCAATATCGAACCGTTTTAAACAATTGAAGATCACCTCTTGTGTAGTCATCATTATGGAACCATTGAAACAAATGGCGATCACCTCTACAACAATATCGAACAGTTTTAAAAAAATGAATATCACCTCTTGTGTGGCAATATCTTTTTAAACAAATGAGGATCATCCCTTTTTGTTCACAGGGTGTGAAATCCGCGGGGAAAGTGGTGTACTTTACTGCGTTGTTTCCATACGTTATGCTGACAGCGCTGCTCATCCGAGGAGTGACGCTGGAGGGGGCTTCGGAAGGGATCCTGTTCTACCTGTCCCCGACTTGGGAGACGCTGCTCAGTGCCCAAGTGTGGGGTGACGCTGCTTCACAGGTAGGCTAAGTTCTAAAATCAGCTTAGTGCGAGATAGGCTCATATGATGTGGGCTCAGTGTAGTAGAATTGTATTAATATTTTCCGCGACATTTTTTTTATTTCCCTTACTTTAAATAGGTATTCATTTATTTATTTAAAGGCACAACCACAGATGATTGAACTATTTCCATAACCAAAAGTTTCCTCATTACTCCTGAAAAATACAATCGTCAAGTGGAAAATTCTTGGTACTTGCGGCTTTCTGATATGTTTTTAACACCCGTTATTGTAGAAGCAGCTCATTCGCAAGTTTGCCGTTTGGTTCTTATAAAACTGGGATCTAATTTCAACTAATCGAAAAAAGCATAGTACACCATGTGTTTTAAGAAATCAGATTATTATCCTACCTATTTACAAATCTCGATGTCGCGATAAAAAAACAATAATGCAGTTTTGTCTGATAACAAATCAAAAATCAATAAAGTTCTTGAATCATCTTTGACAAAGATCTTCAGACTGAGCTATCTTGCACACTTGAATGAATCTGCCTATTATAAAGTTATTTTGAAAAAGTCTAGATCTTTGATTATTCCACGAGAATGAGGTTGTTTTTATCTTGAATCTTGCATCTTTGGAAAATATTGAAAGCGTACATTTGATTAGAGAATCCCAACGGAGAGGAAGACCTAGATTATTGCGATAAAAGTTTCTTAGTCTGTTTGTTGCAGCTACTGCGCGAGTTGTTAGGCCCAGAACAGACGGTGAAACGCAACTGCAACGAAACTTCAACTTTCTGATAATTCTGATGAATGAAACTGAAACTGAAAGTTTCAAACTGGTCGCATCATGTGTGGTATCTCAACGGACGCTATGGCAGAAACTTAGATGCAACTCAAAAGTAACTAGCAGTTGCAGTTTCGTTGCAGTTGCGTTTCATCGTATGTTCTGGGCCTTGCCGGTTGGTTTTACTCGTAAAAGTCGCTGCTTTTTATGAAAATACAAAATAATTTCGAATTAAAAATCATCGTACTTAGCACTAAATACATAAGGCATATTTCAGTCAGCGTTAAATAATTCGTGACATCCAAAGTAGTCAAAAAGTTGATAATACAACGTTATTCCAATAAAATTGTAACAAAGACGACACGTGTTGCGAACTTTTTGGCTACTTGAGTGTCACGTAGTTTTTGACTCTGACTGTTCTTAATAACGTGTAAGAACTTGCGAATTGGATAAAAACAATCCAATGGTTAAAAAAAAATATTTTTCTATTTTTTAGGTATGTAACGTTTGCCCTTCATAAGTAAAAATTCTCTTTAGTCCTTATTTTGAGCTAGAGCTTCTCTCCAAATAAAGTTTTAATTCTGGCCAAACCATAAATCTTTTAAAAATAAAGACGTAACTTAATTAACTTGGAACATCCGTAAAACAGCCATCAATCTATCGAGATAGATTGACCCGCCGAAACAATCTTGTCTCCGATCGTGTCTAAATAAATAAGCACCGCAGTGTACGTAGAAGAGCAGTAGTTTCCCACATCTATCCATTTAAGTATGAGCACAAGAGAGAACCTTGATACAAAAGTAAATAAACCGTACCAGAAGTAGGTACTTAGAGCCAAAGCACACGTCGTGTCGCTGCGTCATCTTACATAGAAATTTATCTGTAGCGGGCACACGAGGGGTGTGGCCGCGTCGTGCGATACGGCGAAATTTTTGCGGTGCAGCGCCCCAATGCATCGTGTGATTTGGCTCTAACTTGTTTAATATTTGAAATACAAGTATGTACGTACATGAGTGATAAGCTCATACGGCTTACATTTTATGAAGTCCCTTTGCGATGCAAGAGTAAATAATATTTAACTAGAACTTTTTCCTGCTTGAGTTTAGAAAATTACTTTGGAAGATACATACGTGACTATACAAATTATCTATAAACGAGAACTATGTTGTGAGCGATGATGTTCAAAATAAAGTAAAGGTCTATTCTAATATTTTGTCTAATATAGCTTTTCCCGCGACTTCACCCGCGTTAAATTTCGTTTGTCACAGATCGTCATAAATTATAGCCTATATGTTATTCTGGGCTTTAAACAATAATACTGTAAAGTTTCATCAAAATCCGTTCAGTAGTTTTTGCGTGAAAGAGTAACAAACATCCAGACATCCAAACTCGCATTTATAATATTATAAGTAAGATATTAAGATTTTACTCTAATTTCCCATAAATTAATACCATAAAATCAGCCAAAAACGTTGTAGAGAAAATTGTCATATTTGTTATTGGATAGAGTGACACTACTGCCACAGTTTCTGTACTGTTATAGCAGTCTTCTGAAGTGATTAATAAAATTATCTCAGATCAGTGCGTTTATCTGCCCCATTAGAATCTACAAGTTTATGATACACCATTTATTGCTAACTTCTTGGAAGTTTTTATTGGAAATAAATTAACCGTGAAAATATTCTTTGGTGAAACTTCAAAGGCAGATTAAGTTGGAGATGTTTCTAAAGAATCATTAAACGGACTAAAAATAAAAATTATCTGCTCAATTTTGTTCCAATCATTGGTTCATGATAAGCAAAAAGCAACAAGTTTTAAATAAAATTCATTCATAAGAATAAGTTAAGTTGTTCTAAAGTAAATTAATCTACATAGAAACAAATAGATGTTTCCCAGAATGTGTGTTTATAATATTATTCGTAGAAATGTAGTCAACAAGATGAAATGAGTTGAAGTGGTGGTTCATGTAGGATATTTACTATGTTAAACAACATCGCTAATTGTTAAACCCAAATTACATTTTCAATATTATTATGTTCATGTTTAAAAAATACTTTGTGATTAATCACGTTGCTGCACGAAAAATGAATTCAATATATGAAATAATTACAGCAAGCAATATACGGGTGCTATCAGTATTTGGTTATCAGTCATTGTGTTCATTAAACCTGCATAAAAATGTTGAGCCTTCACTCACAAGTCTCAGAAATTAACTGACAGTAAATTGGGCACAAAATTAATATTCCATATCATTTTCCATTACATTACTGATTCTGATTGAACAGAATAAGATTAATTCGTGGAAAAGTGCATGATGACGATTGGTGACGCAAATTATAAAACAAATGACGACGATAGGCCCTTAATTATGGGACGAGCTTAATTATCGCACCAAAAACATTTACATGTAAAATGTTGGCAACACGAGACCATCATGGCTCGCGTTGTAAAAAGTATAGCCATGATTATAATTCTAGACGCTACTAGACTCTAAGGCACAAAACAGACGGTGAAACGCAACTGCAACGAAACTGCAACTGCTAGTTACTTTTGAGTTGCATCTAAGTTTCTGCCATAGCGTCCGTTGAGAGACCACACAATACATGACGCAACCAGTTTGAAACTCTCAGTTTCAATTTACTTTCAGTTTCAATTCCATTCATCAGAATCATCACAAAGTTGCAGTTTCGTTGCAGTTGCGTTTCACCGTCTGTTCTGGGCCTAACTAATCACACTCTACACGTTACGTATCTTCTTTTTCTATGCTCTAACCCTTTTTACCAATATTGGGATCAGCTCTTCTTGTTCTGAGGCACCAGGACAGTCTATCCTGGGTTGTCGCTGTACACGCTACGTATATTATTACATTAATAAGCTTGAGTGCATATGCGTATGGTTTGACCACAATATAGTCCAGCGGTGGCGGGATTCAAACGAGCGTTACCCGGATCTCGGATCGGACAATTTGACCTACACCGTTGTGCTATTGTCGACTAAATTGGCCAATCCGTCAATCTTTTTAAATGCTTATTCTTGTCTCCAGATCTTCTACTCGTTTGGAGTGGCCTGCGGCTCCCTCATCACGCTGGCTTCATACAACAAATTCACCAACAACTGCCATTTTGACGCGGTGTTTGTGTCATTCGCTAACTTCGGGACGTCGATATATGCTGGCTTCGCGGTCTTTTCTGTGCTTGGGTTCCAAGCGCAGCAGATGGGAGTTAGTGTTGATGGTAAGTCTTTTTCTTCTTCCTTTTCATCATTGACATCATCATCAAAATCACCATTTTTATCGTCATTATCATCATCATTGTTTTCATCGTTAACATATTAGTCATCTTTCTCATTTTTAGAACGCCATGTTAAGTAAAGTGGGCAGCACATAAGGCTTAGCCTCAGTTACACCACCACCAGTGTTTTTGTCTGGAATTTTAGAGACTTTTGACTTTTGTTAACAAACGTCACACGCGTTTCAAAATCACACCTCGAGTAAGAACTGCAAGAACTTCGATAGTTATTGTCTTTAATATACCTTTTAATTAACCAGGCTTAATTGTAGCGACCAAATTAATACACATTTCCTTGCACATGCACAAATTTACGCAAGCAAATCCATGCCAGTGATGTGTTTGAGTACAATAGGCGTGCAACAAGGAACTCGATCGCTTATTAACGAACAGCGGCTTGGTCCAGTCGAGTTGATTAATCTACGGAGTAAGAGCACACAGCCGCGGGCGCACTCGGCTGCTGGGGAAGGGCCGGTCCACACTAGGCCAAAAGCTATAACTGCCCGGCGAACTTCGTACCGAGATGGTACATAATACGTCGCGACCTGCGAAATCATTAACCTCCTTTTTTGAGTAGCCGATGTTAATCCGGGGTGTCAGCTACCTACATACCAAAATTTGTCTAGCCGCTCTTGAGTTACAAATGGTTTAATTAACACGAATGGTTTTATGTATTTTTGGTTATATTGGTTATCTTTGAGGATAGCCTAATTCGATTCTATCAAATGCCTCCCCCAAAACTTTCCACAACGTCTTACGTTACTCCCATCCAGATGTTCCCGCGACACTCCAGATCGTAAGTCCACAAAGTAAGAGGATGCCTAAGCTGGAATCAAGACACACGCGTATTTCGGCACAGACTTTCACCGGGTGTTAGACGTTGCGGATCTATATTCACTTCGACACTGTCGTCTCTTGAACTAGAAATCATTCCCAAACCAAATTTTCTGTCTCAAAATATTAATTCTGTAGATCTTACCAATATCATGAAAGATGTAAATCGACCCTAAACGTGGTGTTGTTCGCGCTGCTGAATAAACTACCACGTTCAAACATGTTTGCAATGCCCACTCGGTTTGTGTAAATGCGCCCCAAAGGTTTGCTGTTGCGATTCTTTCTCGCTTTGTTTGGGAAACTATGTGTGTGGGAAAATATACAACAAAATGTAGGCTACTTATGCCTACCATACATAATGTTGTGTAAGAAAACAGAGCCGGCTATGCCCGGAGTTTCTCTGCGTGATCGAATCAGAAATAATGAAATTCACAGGAGAACTAAGTAACCGACATAGCTCGCAGAATTGCTAAAATCAAGTGGCAATGGGCGGGGCATATTATCCTAAATGTAAATTTTTTGCACCGCCTTACTCTTTCTGCATGACCCGTGGTTGACTGGCAGAGAATGCCATCCGGCATTAAGTCCGCCACAGTGCATTGTTTCTATGTGTGGTATAGTTTAAATAAATAAATATAGCTCGTAGAGACTATGGCCGTTAGGGCAGAAAAGTTCTCGAGTGGCGACCACGGACTAGAGGACGAAGCGTGGGCAGGCCTCCTACTAGGTGGACCGACGATCTGGTAAAGGTCGCGGGAAGAGCCTGGATGCGGGCAGCGCAGGACCGTTCATTGTGGAAAACCTTGGGGGAGGCCTTTGTCCAGCAGTGGACGTCATTTGGCTGAAACGAACGAACGAACGAAGAAAACAGAACGACAGATTACTAATAAATAAGTTACTCGACAGTCTATGAAACTATCTTCATTGCTTATAGATGTTTATTTATACATCACTCACTGTCTGCCTATGATACTGTATGAAATAAATTTTCTGATCTGTCTATCTCCAGTCGCGTTTGATACGAATATCAGGAAGATTACCAATATTCCAACATAATAACTCGACACTGGAGGCTTCATTATGCCCTATCACGGATCAACGATTATCTATGACAGTAAATAATTGTGATAAACTCCAGACTCTGATATAGAGAGTCGATCGTACACGTGACTATAGGTAATAAGTATTTTTATCAAAATACATATGGGACTATTCTCACCCCTCGTTCCCACCGCTGCAACTCCTGTGTAGCCAGGATCTACAGCTTGAACGCCAATAAAAACCCAACCAGTGAAGGTCAAGTTTGTCCCAGGGCAAAGTTGAACTGTCATTGGACCCGCAAGAGGAGTTCGAAGTCAAGGTTCGACTTCCCTCCATTGCAAAGCGGATGACAGGTGACAAACAAAGGTTTGGTAACCTTGAAGAAAAGATCCTAGACCTATTTTTTAAGCTATTAGCTACCTGCCAATACATTTTTCACAAAATCGCTTAAAAGCACGGAATACATTAGTGTTTTTACATGAAAGAGTGCATTCGCTTCAACCAAAGGACGTCTATTGTTGGATGAAGGCTTTACCCACCGATTTCCACAAACCTTCCCTCCCTTCCCTCGACCATGACCAGATCGCCCGTCCAAAGAGTGGGAGGCCTGCCTACATCCTCTAGTGCGTGGTCACCACTCTACAAATTTTCTCCTTAATAGCCATCAGTTTTAAGAGCTATGTAGCCTGCCTATGTCTATGATACTCGTTACGATAAAAAAGAACAAGTGACAAGATGGCATATCATCTTCCCACTTATTTACGCTGATGATATTATTTTGCCGCGCTTGCCAAGTTGCGGCTTACTTAATTGGTCATCTATTCGACGGTAATGAGACCAGCACATACCACTGCAATCGATTTGATATTGGATAATTAAGCTGCTGATACAACAATTAATATAATTATGTTAAGCTGCTTGATACAATAATTAATTAAACTTACACGCACATAGTTTTCAAGGCGAGAGTGAATAGGCACTTACAGGGCAGATATGTACCATCCTAGACTGCATCTTCCTTAACACCAGGTACGATTGCGGTCAAATACCTGCCTTGTCCTGAAAAAAAAAAAAGTTTCTTGCGAAGACTTTGATGTCTTTTAAAAAATACCATTAGGCGATGGACTTCACTTTTATAAGCCTTTGGGTATCACAGCAACAATTAATACACCTACCTAATCCACAAAATTTTTCATGCATACCTAATAATTTATGTTCCTCCTCCAAGTTTTACTAAATTCCTGTTAGTTATATAAAAAGAACTTCTAAAGATTGTGATCTTAAACTTAGTGAAGAAAATCAGAAGATGCTCATCTTTCACACGCGAATATTACATTAACGTATTAGCCGTTATTTGATACAACTATGCTTACTTGCCTAAAATTCCAGCAATATCAAAGGCCTATCTAATGCCTTCATAAAAAATATACACTCGGATCGCAATATCGTGATCATTCGATATCCCGATTAATACCGGGATTATTCGATTCTTTCGCACACGGCAGCCAATCTCATAACGTTTGCGAACACCGCCGCTGTAATATTTATTGTTCAATCAATCCATTATCTCGCTAGCGGAATTCAAACAGACGTACTGCAGTACAAATCATATGGGAATCGTAGTTATGCGCCGATCAATTTGTACCGAATTCATCTCACTTCATAAATAAAAGTTTAACGTTCGGTGTATTCGTTATCTGGTTTTAGTATCGGCATTTAAGGATTTTAGATAGCTGCTACTAGGAAAGTTATATTGGTCTGGTGCCAGGGGATTGCATGTTTTCGGTCTTTTTCAGATTTTTTGCACAAATTAATGGATTTTAATTTATATCGCGTACTTACTAATGTAGATGAATACTCGTAGAATAGGGTAAACTGCCAGTCATTGGACAGTTATTTACTGAATTAAAAATAGCATTTATATTTCTACAACTGAGAGATTCCGACTGATGGAGATAAAAAGGCGTTTTTTTTAAAGGAATATTTATTTTAAGAAAATTCAAGGGTTGTTTTGTCCAATGACTGGCAGCGTCCAATGACTGTCGGTTTACCCTATATGCTTTATACCAAAACAGACACATAAAATAAACACCAAACCGAAACGGCACAATTTCGGCGGCTTTATTGCTAAGAAGTGATCTTTTCTAGACCATCCAAAAAGACAAAAGCTGTTTTGTTCGTTTTTGTTTCGGCCAAACTACGTCCACTGCTTGAAAATTTTAAGACAATTGTTCAAAATTAAATGTTTACTTTCATATCACGTGTTTCATTTATTTATACAAAACGGCCTCTTTAAAGGAATTTGACAGGCTTTTTTATATTTTATATGTATAAATCTATCATTTTTGTCCCCAGACGTGGCTCAACAAGGTCCAGGTCTGGCATTCATCGTGTACCCCGAAGCGCTGCTGCAGATGCCAATACCCCAGATGTGGTCCATTCTCTTCTTCATCATGCTGTTTATCCTCGGTATTGGATGCCAGTTCGCTGGCATTGAGGCCATAAACACAGCCATTGTTGACCAGTGGCCGCATCTACGGAAGAATTATTGGAGGGTGAGGATTATAAATTGGATTTTTACTGCTCCTTCGATTATCGGGAAGAATTCCAAGACAGATAGATATCCCCCGGGACTACGGGATATTCCCACCTCTTGTTCCCACCACTGCAACTCCTGTGTAGCCAGGATCTACAGCTTGACCGCCACAAAAACCCAACCAATGAATGTCAAGTTTGTCCCGGGGGAAAGTTAAACTGTCATTGGACCCGCAACGAAATTAATCAGAAGAACATAGGAGGAGTTCGAAATTAAGATTCGACTTCCCTCCATTGCAAAGCGGATGACAGGTGACAAACAAAGGTTTAAAACCTTTAAGAAAAGATTATCCCCCGGGACTACTCAACCTTCATTGGTAGGGTTTCATTGAAGGTCAAGCTGTAAGTCCCGTGCTGTTTGGATTCGTTTCAGCCAAATGACAGTTTCTGCTGGACAAAGGCCTCTCACAAGGATTTCTAGAACAACCGGTCCTGCGCTGCCCCCATCTAAGTACATTCCTTCCCTAATTCGTCAGGCCATTTAGTGGGAGGTCTGTTCACATCTGAATGCCACATCATAATCAAGAACTTTTTCCCCTAACGGCTGCTACTAATGCTAGCTTTTGTCTAAACTGAAGCGTGTCTTTCTATTGGGTACGTTAAAAACATGATTCACGTACCCACCTGAGTAATAACAAAAATGTTATCAGCATTATCGACACACAGGCATTAGTAAACTCATCAAAAACCTAATAAATATTAAAAGTATTGATACCTACCCTATGTTCATTAAAGGTACTGTAATATGTTATGGACAAAGTGATTAATAGGAAATGAGGCATTTTTTACACAATAAACACTTACATTGGCCGTTCATGTACCTATACCTACCTATTATACCTGTGATAAGTGTGGCAAGTTTCTTTAGCTACTATTTTCATAAGTTAGTTTACCATTCATAAGTTTTTAAAATAAGTTTTAATTGCAATCAACGAACGGTCTTCATTCATTGTGAATTTACTTGTTTTCTGATGTTTACTTGTTTTGTCTTCGACATGAACAGCTAGCTGATGTTCAATTGTTTTTCTTATCGTGTTGTTGCTCATTTTAGTTTTTGTCAAGAGCATGTTTTATTTACAACCGTAAGCTGTAAGTCTTTAAAATTAGATAGCTAATGGAAACTTTTCTTTACAGGTCACAGCGTTCACTTGTTTCTGCTGCTTTATTCTCGGTATTCCCATGTGCTTCAGCGGTGGGATATACTTGTTCACTCTACTGGAGTGGAATACCGCTTCGTGGGCTATTCTGCTCATTGGAGTTGCACAGGTAACACAGATTTCTTCATTATTTACTTATTATGTACGTAAAAATACGTCGTCTTGTAATTTTAAATAATTCGATCCCAAAAAAAGTTGGAAAAATTGAATAGTTGAGTCAGAATTGATTTACAAAATGGAAAACATTTCTTCAAAGATTCAGAAAACATCGAAAGCATTGACTCCCTTTTATTGCTATTGTTATGTCAATATTTCACTATAAAAATGTTGTAGAAATGTTAATATTTGTTTAAAAAATAAAAAGTTTTCATAAATATAGAGCACTGAAAACAATGGAATTTAGAATCAAATACCTACAACTCTTTTTTATCGGCCTCGAACCTACCCAACGCTCTTGTTAATTTATCTTTGACCAAAATGCATATTATTTACAAACACTTAATATTGAATTTTTATTAACGCATATTTTGGTACAGTTAAAACATGAATAAAATTATGAATGTTTTAATGTTGCGTTTTAATGGGGCGTTTAATTACTTTGCATATTTTTTTATACACAACGGGAAGCTCTTGATTTGGATCTCACCAGATGAGAACTCAGTATTTCTTCCCGAATAAAAATACATTTATAACTTTTTTGTTGGTGTTTCTTTATAACTTTTTCTTGGTTTATCGTTTTCCCTTTGTAAGTTATCTGCACCAAAATATACTTCAGTTCAGATCAAACCCCAACCTTTAACTATAGCAAATCCGCGGCCGTGCCTGCATTTCGGATTGTCCGCCGGATCCATATTAATTACCGATCCTCTGACAAATAGTGCACTGCAGTATCGTGGAGCTACGGAATCAACCGGGCCATGGACGATTTGGCCGACATGAAAATGAAATTCAACCCTTTCCTGCGTTTCTACTGGAAGGCGGTGTGGACCGTCATCTTGCCTATTGCCAGTGTGGTAAGTATGATTTATTTTCATCACCATCATTAAATGTCAGTCATAGGACGTCCACAGCTGAACATAAGCCTCCCCCAATGATTTCCATAATGACCGGTCTTGGTAGCATCCATCCAACAACGCGTTCCTTTTACCTTTGTGAGGTCGCCTGTCTAGGCAGCATCCATTCTACACATTTGTGACGTCGTCAGTCCGCCTTGTAGGTGGACGTCTTACGCTGCGCTTTCCGGTACATTTCACTCCAGAACCTTGCTGGCCTTGATTTTACTTTTTATGTTTTGAGCACCAAAGAAGAAGTACAAAGAATGGTGATCTTAGAAGTTCACGTTCTAGTATACTTTATAGTGATGATTAGAATGGAGGTGGACAGGTGACCTAGAAATTTTCACAGGAAGATGCTAAAATGATGATGATTACGAGTACAGTGACTCTACTACGGCTGAGATATTATATATTTTGACGGCCGTTTGGTGTAGTGGTTCAGAACGGACTACTATGCCGAGAGGTCCCGGGTTCGATTCCCGGCGGGGCAAAAATTGAAATGATGAATTTTAATTTCTGTGACGGGTCTGGGTGTTACTATGTATAATATGTATGTAATTATAAAAAAAAAAGTATATAAGTAGTATATCCGTTAAGCTAGCACCCATAACACAAGCATATTAATTGCTTACTTTGGGGCTAGATGGCGCTGTGTGAGATTGTCCAAAGATATTTATTATTATTATTATTATAGGTAGTATTAATTTGTAAGCAATTTAGGTCATATCGCGACAAAAATGTATAAGATTGATGTAAATAGATAAAAACTGATCATATTTATCTTGTATTGTATTGCGTGGAATAATTAAAGATCATCAATCACATATCGCCAAAATCGGTATCAATTGACGTCATATAAAATTTAATATGTCAGTAGCAGTAACTAGTAGTAACATTAAATATTTATACCTGTATTTTCCACGAAGCTGTCCCATTTTATCTGGCTGGATTTTAGAGGTAATCAAGCTGTAGATCTTGGTAGCACAGAATTTATAGTAGCGGAGACGGTATAATTTACAGCTTACCCTTTAAAACTTGTGGTGTAGAATAAGAAACTCTTTGACTCTCTTTGACGCCAAACAAACTAAAAATTATTTTAAAAATATTACAAAACATTATAACGCACAGTGGGATTTAGTTCCAGCTATCCATTTTCGGTCATGTCGTCTTGTTCTATCGCAAAGAATTAACATTTTGATGAGAGCGAAAGAAAAAGTGGAAATGGGTAGCTGGAACTGTGGCCTATGGCACATTTTAGGCGACCTTATCTCTAGTTTTGTTTTTGAAGACAGCTGAAAGTTTTGTGAGAAAAATAAATGAAAAGAAAGTCTGAAAACTGAAAATTTCACTGCATTATTTTGTAGTTTTAACAGACGTAGCATTCCAGATATTCGCCGTACTTTTACTTGGCAATTTTCACTTCATAAAAGCACAGATGCTTTTGTTATTTGTTCAGTCTTGTTTATTTTGTTGCTAGGTTTATTGTGAGACTGTAACTTTTAGTATAAACCTTAGATTTGTGGAATCAATTCCATAGATATCTGCAATAATAAACGTAAGGTATTGCTTTAAAACTACAAAATGGTACTTATATAACAGATTAAGAAATGATACAGGTAAAAGTTGGAAGGAACTGATAATGAGTACCTATTCCTAAAGCGCTGATATTCAGCCATTTCCCCTTCTCTTAAAGTCTTACTCAAAAAATGGTCACGGGGGCTTATAATGGAAATCACTAGTGTTGTGTCACTTGCAGTTTACGGCTACAGCAGTTTGAGGTCTGTGGTTTGTTTTAGACTTATACGAGGGGAGTTCAAAAAGTAATGAGAATGGGATACTACTAGCTATCACAAAAATCTGAAGAAAATAGGGTAGGTAGCTTAATTCTTCACTAGAAACTGGTTTTAGGCCTTTTTGGAGAGTCAAGAAAATCATCCGATTGGTCGCGTTCAGGTAAACGCAAAGACTTGTCTTCACTAATTAGTTATTTTTTTACACAGGCAATTCTGATCTTCATTCTCATCAACTGGACGACACCAGCGGTGGACGACTACGTGTTCCCACTGTTTGCTGACCTGCTTGGCTGGGTAGTGGGCATATCGACCTTGATCTTCTTCCCAGTGGGAGTGGGCTGGGCCTTTTACCATGGATATGTAAGTGTTATTATTATGACCTTTACTTGTAATCGAACCTTACTTTAATAAGACATAGACACATACGCTCACATGCACAGAATAAGGTCACTTTTAATACAAAACTGTGGTAAATCACCTGTTAAATGCTGTGTTTTTTGACAAAAAATTAAAATAAATTACCCAAAAACTCGAGTGGCGACCACGGGCTGGAAGACGTAGCGTGGGCAGGCCTCCTACTAGGTGGACCGACGATCTCGTAAAGGTCGCGGGAAGAGCCTGGATGCGGGCAGCGCAGGACCGTGCATTGTGGAAAGCCTTGGAGGAGGCCTTTGTCATTTGGCTGAAACGAACGAACGAACGAACCCAAAAAATTACATAAATTCTAATTCGAGCTTTGAATTGCAATAATCATACCCGAATAAAATAATTTTAAACTTTACTGTAATGTACTAGGTAGTTTTCAATTTTCTTGCTTCAACCTTGAAGTATTTTAGAAACTCACTGAGAAAGTGCAGCCAGTATCTTTTCCTCATCGACGTCGGTCTATTTTTTAATTAAATGTTTGTTATTAATTATAAAAATCCAATTTATTTATTTCAAAAGAAAATTATTAAATGTAGGATTAGGAAAAATAATACACAGTTACTTTATCTAAAACCGGAAGCCGAATCTTTGATATAATAATATTCACGAGCCTTCATTGGAGTTAAACAAAAATCCCCTCAGACGGATCAAATCTGAATAATTGGATCCAGCAATGGGAAAATGGGACCGAGAGTGGTACACAATACCACTGTAAGGGTCACTTGGTATTATCTTGATTTTTGAGTACCATTTGTTGGTCAAGAGCGCTTGAGTCGAGGACCACTCGCGTCAACGAATGACGTTCAGGTGGTTTGGTCAATGGTGGGGTACTGAGGAGTTCCGTTATTGCGATGAAATTAAGAAAACAATGGGACAAACGATCTTCTCTAGTCTTAAATTATTTATATTATTTAGCACAACCACTGAAGCTACGTAATCGACCTGGGGGTGGAGCACTGGTAACCTAAAATAAGGGTTTCCTGAAACCTATATCACGCATCTCTTTCACACACAAGGTGCCACAAAGTATGTAATTATGTAAAAAAAATATTTTTGGAGAATTACATAAATTCAAAACAATCTAAATCAATAATTATTATCTTTGTTTGTATAGAGTAGACTATTTAAATTAGAACTTACAGATCGTCAAATGCTCTTAAGGAGCCATATCTCTTTTTTTTTGCCCTATCAGCGCTTCAAGACAAACATTTGTCAAATGCTGAGAAGAAGCGCCGCCAAACTCAGTCACCATTGTCTGTCATGAGCCGTACACGAGCTATTTATTGTACTGATTACTATCGTTTAAAACGAACATTCTCTTAAAAAATAAATGCTATTATTAAATCACAACAATGGAGGCGTTATTAATAGTAATATGTAGCCCAATGGCTAGCAACTCCTTGGTGGCTCAGTGGTCAGTCAGACTGTCGATTAGATTATATTTCGATCCCCATCGACCGCTGGACTATTATGGTAAGCCCAGTTAACACAGGAATTTATAATATACCCAATAGAGGTATCGTTCGTTCGTTCGTTTCAGCCAAATGACGTCCACTGCTGGACAAAGGCCTCCCCCAAGGTTTTCCACAATGAACGGTCCTGCGCTGCCCGCATCCAGGCTCTTCCCGCGACCTTTACCAGATCGTCGGTCCACCTAGTAGGAGACCTGCCCACGCTACGTCTTTCAGCCCGTGGTCTCCACTCGAGAACTTTCCTGCCCCAACGGCCATCGTTTCTACGAGCTATGTGCCCTATAGAGGTTTACAGGAAAATTATTAATGTGTACACTAAATATTGGGGGAGGCCTATGTTCAGTGGACGTCCTATGGCTGAGATGATGATGATACTAAATATTTATTTATTTTACGAATTTGCAATTTTTTTTAGATAATAGTCAAAACTTTTTCCATAAAACAGTACTCAAGACTCATTCAGTGCCTGGAAGTATGGGAATGGCACGGGAAGAGTAATTTTGACATAATAATGACGTGACAGAGCATACAAATCTGAAGTTTCGCTGACATTTGACGTAACAAAAGACACCCTCCCGTACCGCTCCCATACTGACTGAGTTATGGTATAGATGACCCACGCTGAACTGTCCCGCCAAACTCAATGACAGGGGGGCGCTACCATCGTTCAACTATATGGTTTCCAACATGGCAAAAATCTGAACCAGCGATCCGGTATTGACGGTGGCGCCCCACTGTCAATGTCATCGACAGGACAGTCCAGTATTTTGGAACTATACCTGTACTATTACTTATTCTGTGGTTATGGGCTATACCTATAATATTTTTTTTATTCATTTACGCTTTTGCACATACAATTGTACAGTGGCGGACTTAATGCCAGGTGGCATTATCTGCCAGTCAACCACAGGTCGAGTAGAGAGACTAAGGCGGTGCAATAAATATGACGTTTAATTAATATACTTACATAGCATTAGATAAAATAAATAACAAGAATACATATTAATATAATATACATACACCTAGATACATAAACATAATAATAATATTGGCGTACACAAAACACATGTCAGAGATAAGAAAAAAGTTTTAGTCTTTAAAATGATAAATATAATCTCATTCATATACAATTTTTTCTAATTTTTAAATTGTTTATTCCAGAGAGGAAAGGAACTTTTCACTACAACGGAGGACTGGAAGCCGGCAAACAAAAAACTACTCAATAATTCTGGATCTGAATCCTTAGAATCTGGTCTCGACAGTTCACAAAACAACTTAGATTATGTTAATGATAATATGGTAGCTAGATAAACTAAGTAAGAATAATTATTAGATTATTTATTAATATTATTAATTATTATACGTAATTATGTTTGACAATAATTGACTAGCAAAATTAATGTCAGGCTACAATTTATTAAAGAACCTAAATAACAAAAAAAAAACATTAATCGTAGTATATGAATTGCTACTTACTTATATGACAAATTGATGTGTAGAAAGTAATTAGATTTTTTTTTACTTTTTTGTAAGAACAATATTGTTACTTCTTTGACCTCGAAAAGAAAACAATTGCGACATGACAATATGCATCACAGCTAACCAATAGAAATTCTTTATAAAAATTATATCCGTATTTATTTACAGAATTTTACAACTTATACCTATGCTATAGATACGCCCGTAATCACAAACGATGCTTGCTTAAGTGATGCAGCAAATCGAACGCACAGCGTTGAATAGAGCTCTGTGATTGATTTGTGTGTCCTCACACTGTGAGACCTCATAGTAATGTTTGTGAAAACGGGCGATATACTTTAATATTGTACTTAAAAGTAAACTTAGTCATATCAAAACTTATGAATCCCGTATCGGGAGGACGACAATAAATAATTATGATTATGGACTTTAGACATTACTAATAATAATTATTATAATAGTCAGGTATTTTTTTAACTAAGCGTAAATCTGATAATATTCTTAAGATTAATATTTTGATTACGAGCTGTATCTATGTACCTATTAAATAGTGATAATGATATAAAATATAAATGATACAATCTTAAATCGTTTGTCTTTCGACTTCTACCTACTTGTATCACACATTATGTGTTTATGTCATATCTAAATTCAAAACCTTTATTGTGTCTTTATTACCTACTAGCTGACCCGGCGAACTTTGTTCCGCCTTAATGGCAATAAATAAGCAGACTTTTTTTTTTTAATTTCGAACGGGATGAAAAGTATCCTATGTCCTTCTCCTGGCTCTAAACTACCTCCCTAACAATTTTCAGCTAAATCGGTTCAGCCGTTCTTGAGTTATAAGTGGAGTAACTAACACGACTTTCTTTTATATATATAAAGATTTGATTATTAATTAACTTTCAGTTAACCAAAGAATATATGCCGGATAAAGTAATTGAAATTGTTAAGTAAAAATAAATCTGGGGGCACGGCAGTGCCCCCACCAAGTCGAGCAAAAAAGCGGCACGGCCGTACCATCCTTTTCTCGAAGCAATTCAGGCCATTTTCGACCGCCTGTAACTTCGTTGTGGATAAAACTAGAAGGCTGAATTTTCATTAGCTATGCAGGCATTGTAAAGACACGGTATATTTAAAATTTCATTCAATTTGAACCAGTAGTTTAAGAATTATAACGGGTCAAAGTTACTTAATTTTGTCACTCACTGACTGACTCACTGACTCACTGACTCACTCACTGACTCACCGATCATCAAAATTCTAAGGCACTTCTAGCAGACCTAGAAGCTTCAAATTTGGAATATAAGTAGTGTTTGGTGTATGAATCAAGGAAAAACTAAAATATTTGGGGGCACGGTAGTGCAACCGCCAAGTCGAGTAAAATTTTTCAATTTCGGTCCAGTTTTCTAGATACATAACTGCTGTCTACAAAATACAAAAAGAAATGAGATCCCATCAAAAACAATACTTGTCAAAAAAACCAAGTCTCGCAACTCAGTTGTTCTACGGTAAAAAGTTGTGAGATCCATGTAATACCAAGTCCAGGCCAGGAAATCTTTAACGTTTTACATAAATATATTGACTTGGCCATCGCATGAAAACACGTGTAAATTAAATTATTTAGTGCGATGGCCAAGTCAATAATTTATGTAAAACGTTAAAGATTTCCTGGCCTGGACTTGGTATTACATGGATCTCACAACTTTTTACCGTAGAACAACTGAGTTGCGAGACTTGGTTTTTTTGACAAGTATTGTTTTTGATGGGATTATTATTACATGAAAAAAGAGAAAATTTTATAACAGTTTTGTCATTATTTTATGAGCACAAAATCAGCATGAATCATTAGATAAGTAAGTATCTAATCAAAAATGTATCATGTTTGGAAATTCCTATACAAGTACATTGCTACACATGCTTGAACGAGCTACTAGACGTTGACAAGTCTACTCAAGTTATTTGACCCTGTAGTCATACAGCAGAATCGGATACAGAATCTTCACTAATACAAGCCTTGATCACACGTACCGAGTAAACGGGCGAGACAGTAAAATGTTTACTCGGTCGAGACAGTTGGGTGAGCGAGTCACATACTCGAGCGCTCGGCCGAGCACTCGGCGTAATGTTCATACACACCGAGTACTCGGCCGAGAGCACTGTCTCGCCCTGTGTGTGTTTGCTCGGTACGTATGATCAAGGCATATAATTTCAGTTATAGCGACAAAATTACAGAAATTCGACGAAGAGATTGTGATTGAAACAACATTATCTGTGTACAGGTGATAGCATGTGTAAAGATGTCTTTAAATCATTTTTGTTGCAAAGTAGTACAATACATAAATAACTACATAAGGCCTACCAGAGATACCTTATATGCTATCGTTTGTAATGACATATAAAACATATAAATTAGTATTTAATCTGTTTATTTAACTCTTGTATAGCATGGAAAATATCGTTTATTACGATTGAACATCAAGAAACAAAGATGTGACTTACAATTGAGTATGGTCCCGAATGTACGTTTGACTGTTATATCTTAAGGAGTTATAACAGGTGCTGGAGGTGCTATTTTTCAGTAAAAATGGCGATGATTTGTTTAAGAAGATCCCTAAAATTATTTCTGCACGGACTTTGTATACTGAACACATTTCCACTGTGTCTTCGTGCCCTAGATACGCGGACACGAGTACTTCAGTATCTGTAAATAGGTTAATTACTTTGCTCTTTCGAAATGTTCTCCGATACAAGAAGTGTGGTTGACGACAGCTATTCACTTCATAAATTTTGCACCTTTTACATGCTTCTTACCATTTCAAATTTTACTTTCAGTAGAACTTCATTGGATTTTAATAAAAGTGGACCCTTCATCATCATCATTTTAGCCATGGGATGTCCACTGCTGGTCATAATTATTCTTGCACAATCACAATTTATAGTTTTACTCATTACTTTGTGTCTTATTGCTCAACTTGAAAAATATTGTATCTGTTCAGAATGTACATATTTCGTACTTTCTCAAACTTCTTTTCTTCAAAACTACTGAAATACTCGTACGCACAACCTCACAAATTCTTACTTTTATATGCGAGTAGATAAGTTAAATTTCCTACAAGAATACTGGATCTATAACTTAAACATCGACAGCCAAAAATTCAGCAGCAAAAGTTTCCAAAATCATTCACAACTAGTCGATACAATATAAGAATCCGGCCCCGAGAGTACACGACAAGTCACTCAAATATAGGAAGTTGAGAAGTTCTATAAAGTATAAATAAAGAAAACTCCGAGAACAGTGCGCTTTCGAAGTGGCGACAGTCAAACGCACTCGACTGTGGTGCAAGGAAGAAGAGGATAGCTGAAGAAAAGGTAGATTAACTTTCAGTTTTAAAATAATAATAATCATCATCAGGCCAACTTTTGTCTTCATTGACAAGCCATTTAATCTCTAGTGCAGGATCACGCTCCACACAAATGTAAATGAGGCGAACGGAAGATTTAGCTTAGACTCCCCTCGCTGGTCATCATCATTATCTCAGCCATAGGACGTCCACTACTGAACATAGGCCTCCCCCAATGCTTTCCATGCAGCCCGGTTGGTAGCGGCCTGCGTCCAGCGCCTTCCTGCTACCTTTATGATATTCGTCGGTCCACCTTGGGTAGACGTCCTACGCTGCGTTTTCCGGTACGCGGCCTCCACAGTACCTTGCTGCCCCATCGCTCGCTGGTCATATGGTTTGGCAAAGATAATGATCAAAGGGACAAATTGATTTATTGATTGGCAAACCGGACCAGTGTTTTTTTTTGTGTTATAACTGGTAACGCATCCTCAATTCTTAACTTTAATGCGCAGGTCTTAAAAAAACAATTCCAACTTAGGCAAATTACTTTGAAGCCTAATACTTTATTTTTAATATTGGCAACATTTTTCCTTCTGGCATAAACTTGCCTGTTCTTGTAGTTTGAGCCGCATCCTTAGTTGGGTTCAGCAGCCCGCTCCAATAAGTCTGTCGCGGGTACGTACCGCTGAACTTGCTCCGTTAAAACCTGTTTTACGATTGCAATAACTGCGCCCGCGCCCTGCGCTAGACAATCGAGCTGAAATTTAGTTAATCTTTGACCGTCGAGACAATTAATCTTGGAATGGGATTTTGAGTGGATTTCATTTTTTTTTTCAATATGTGATTTACATAGGAACACGATTAACTGCCAAGTAGGTAGATAAAAAAAATGAAAAATAGTGATCTATTTGGTGCTTAAAATTATTTATTTTTTAATAAACGTACTTTCCTAAAATGGACGCAAAAAATAAAAATAGTCCTATTTGAGCATGAGCATAATTATGATATCTGCCTCCCTAGACAAAACGCACTTTTTGATCGAATCGAAAATCGAATCCGTCAAAACTCCATACAAAAAAGGGGCTTTTCGACCACTTTTCGACTGGTTTGCGATTATAATTTGCACTTTGTCTAGACCCACTGATATAGCTGAACAATTTTGAAACGTCAAATGGCAAAGATCGGAACATTTCAGTGTCTTCCAACGTGGCGCCCCCTGTCAATGTCACGGGTGGGACGGTTTAGAGACGTAAGACACTATAACTTTATTTTTAACGTCGGCAACATTTTATCGTCCTGTCATCCTGTCATCAGTATTTTTGTTGAACCGTTGGATTCAGAAAATCTGTTTTACGATGGAATTGTAATTGAGTTAATCTTTGACTTGCGAGATTAACCTCGGAATGGGATTTTGAGTGGATTAGAGTTTTTATTTATTGGTCCAAGGAGTTCAAAACACGTTTACTGCCATTAAGATTAATGGTAGAACAAGATGGCCTCCCAAACTTGACAAGGCTTGAAAAAAAATCCTAAGATAATGTTTCATGTGTTTCTCTTGATAAAAATTACTTTGACTACAACTGCTGCAATGATTTTTTCATTAATCACAAAGATTCGTCTATAGCTAAAAAAAATGGCGCAAACAGGTAATTCATTCATATTGATTATTAGATTTTTCACATCTACCTTCTACGTATTTGACCAGTATTTGAGTAACCAATAACACAAAGAAATAATATTTTGACTCATTATTTAAGAAATCAAATGTTTCGTAAAACTGTAATATTTATTTCTATATAGTCACAAAGATATCATCATTTCAGCCAATGGCGTTTCACTACTGGACGACTGTTTCTGAAGCCTCGATCCATCGAGCAGGCGTACGCGTAGTTTGCCGAGACACACAAAGGTAGGTGATAGTTACCTTATTGTTTTTGTGATCACTATAAAATATTTTTCATCAATCGTAGGTATCTACACTTACAAAATAATCAAACTTTAATGCTAAATAACGTAACATAGCGTTTTTTTTTTTCAATATAAAACAACATGAGCTTTAATCCTAGGTTCCAAAAACAAATGAAAATAAAAAAAAGGAAAAATAAAATCAATAAAAGTCGGTTTTGTCGGCAACATTTTTTTACCAGCCAGTTCTTACTTTTCTCTTTCAAAAATCTTAGTCCCACGGTTCCTATTATTATTTGTTTATTTTTCCAATGAA